TTGAGTTCTGTACCAAAAGTGTATTGCTTGAGGTTAGAGGGATTGTTCAAATCTCTAACACAAATATGTGATGAATGATGTATGTGATGATGAGTAATAATAATGAATGCCTTAGCAAACAGCACTAATAAAATGTCTTGTTAAGCACAGGTAGCTTCAAGTGGCAAACAAGTGGATTATGAGAGAGTGATATTAATAGCTCATTGCTTTATTTGGCAACTGCGGTAAAGAGGAGGTTAGTTAAATTGAAACAAAATGTCTTCCTGCCACTTCTCGCAGGCGACTTGTGGCATTTTTTTATTGCACAGTTCATTTCACAATCTTTCCACTTTTTAATTTTTTATTTTACTATCTTAGTTTTGTTTTTTATTATTGTTTTGTCTTGTTTTGTTTAGTTTTCATTTTGTTTTGTTTTGTGTGTTTTTTGTTGTTGTTTTTTTTTTAGTTTCTCCATTTGTTTTGTGGTTTATTTGTTTTTTTATTTTTGGTTTTCATTTCATTTTGTTTATTTTTGTTTTGTGGGTTTGTTTGTATTTTGTTTTGTTTTTGTTTAGTTTTCATTTTGTCTTGTTTTTTGGTTTGTTGTTTTTATTTTTGTTTTGTCTTGTTTTTAGTTAAATTTTTTTTTTTTTTTTCTTCTTCTTTTGTGTTTTCTTAAAACGCAACACTCAATTTTATACAATATCTAACTTGCTCCATGTCTCTCATCAAGGGATTCTTGGCCTAAAAAAGTTGAAGATCTCTGACCTACGACACAAGTAAAATGGTTTCATTCTGCCCTGAAAAATTAATTCTTTAATTCCTTGTACCTTGTATTTTGAAAAATAACCATTAAAACACAAGATTTTTAAGACCTGAACCATTAAGACAAATTTGGACATATTTGAAATGGCAAGCTACTACAACATTTTCCTGTCTTTAAATGATTCATGCTATTGTTTGGGGAGTATAAAATTAGGTAGTCAGAGCAGCAGGTGAAGACTGTTTTTAAAGGGAAGTGTGTTATATCCTCACTGTATGGGCTTCTGTGGATTGTGCAGTTGTTGGTGCCCCTTTTGCCATCTGCTGCTCTAGCCAGCACCCTTCAACCCATAGTGCTCATCTCCCACCAATGCCTGCGTACCAATACAGGAAGACCGTTTTAGTCTCGGCAGCTCAGACAGGAAGTGACTTCATGTTGTGGAGCTCGCTGCAGCTTTCAAGCCAGAGCTACTTTGAATTGAACAGATTGGCAGTCAGTGTTGGTTGACATATTAATGAGGTCAAGGCGCTCAGTGTCATGTCATCATATCTAGTTCACAAGCACACAGCATGCACTGCACTTGTGAAAATAAGGTGGGAGGATTGAACCAGTGTGAATTTCACTGTTCCACACAAAGAATGATAGAAAACTGTTGCAAATGCCTGCAAATAGTATCAAAACAAACTTGCACAGCCTTTAAAGTCAACAAAACAGAGCCTATTTACTTTCTTAATGACCGTTCCTGATCGTATTGTGCAAGAATGAATGGCACCGATGAATAAAATCCAGGCCCGCACCTTCTCTTCTCGTCGAATTTTTTGCTCAGAAATACATCACATTACGAAACAAAATGGGTTGCGAATGCTGTTTTATGTTGACTTTTAAAGCACCTTTCTGTTTAAGAATGGATAACTTGTTAGATTTCCGCCTAGAATTAACTGCTCAGTTGCAGCTACGTTTTCTGTTATGTTGTTCACTTTTAATGTCGAGCAGAAATGTTTCGGGTACATTTGGTTTCTGATTCCAGGTGCAGTTTAATTCCCATGAGAAATCGTCCCTAGCTGCCTGCTAATTTGTTCCCATGAGGGTGTTATGTGAGGATGGCAGACTCTAGGGGTGCTCCGATTGATCGGCTACCGATCACTATCGGCCGATAATCGATTTGGGATGATTGATCGGCGGTCTCTAAAAAGGCCGATCTCAAAAAAACGATCTCATGCTTATGACGCGCCTGCCGTCAGAGGTTTGGCACGACATGCAGCGGCTCAGTCTCTGTCCAGCGCGGGTGAAATAATTATAATGCTGAAGGTGAAGTACTCGCCTTCATATGTCTTAATTAAATAACTTATAAAGTAATTTGAAAACCTTGTG